TAACATTAAAAAAAAAACATTCAGGAATGGCTGAAGTTCTGAGAAAGTGCAAAATTATTATTTGGGATGAATGCATAATGGCCCATAAGCATTCGCTAGAAGCTCTCGATGAACCCTGAGAGATATAAGGAATAATCGTAGGCTTTTTGGTGGTGCTTTGGGTTTGGTGACCGGTGATTTTAGACAAACCTTGCCTGTCATCCCACGAGCAACATATGTGGACTTTGAAAGAGTCCTACGTATCTATGGCGAGATGCCAGTAACTTAAACCTTACAATCAATAAGCGTGTTCAACTCCAAAATGACCCATGAGCGTCACGATTTTCTGAACAATTGCTAAACACTGGTAATGGTGAAATTCAATTGTATGGAGATACGCAATATATTCAACTTCCAGAAAACATTTGCAATATAGTGGCTACCAAAGATGAGTTGATGGAAAGTATTTTTCCAGAGATACAATTTAATTATACAAACCATACCTACCTGCGTGAGCGAGCTATTTTAGCTCCAAAAAATGTAGATGTTGACACGATCAACCTGAGGCAGTTATAATTGTATTTATAAATTTTTTAATCCTGATATAGTCTATATATCTGTACCATGTACCATCGCATCATGGCGCCAAAAGAGTAGTAAAATCACCAGAATTAAATACAAAATTTTTAAAGACATCTACATCTCGAAACTCCCGCAACCACCAGAGGGTGTTTCCAGAACCTCGTACGCAGATGACTGTACGATATTGACGTCGGGGGGGACAAGTCAGAGTGGAAGCTATGTTGCCTAGTTGAGCTCCAGGGGAGGTCCTCTATTGGGTGAGTGGCGGCGCAGCGTCGCAGTATTGCGTAGGCAACATGGGGCCCGAAACGAGTGGTCCACTCCCTATGAGTCTTAAGGCCTGAGCAGGTSTTWAGATGGCTCCATCCATTGCATGTGTTGCACCTGACCAAGGTGGAGTTTGGATGGAGTCGTTTTGCGCATACGCAGCAGAAAAATTCCTCCGGGCCCGGGTTGGACTCAATGCCAGCAYGAGTCAGGAGAATACGGAGCAACCCTGCTGCAAGGCGTTGCTCCAATGACGACAAACACACATTAATACTCACCGATCCAAACGGGGCGACAGCCCTTGGTCGGATGAAATMCGAGTAAATTCTGGTACGTAGAACCGGCTGTCGTGGGAATTGAAAACGTCGAAACCACTCGCGCACTCTGCTACGGAATAGGCAATCATCGCCATCAGCTTGTTTCATCAATTGCAACGTTTTGGGATTGCAACAATGTTGACTATTTGTTCGAAGCTTCATTTTCGCACCAATAACACAAACGTACTGATACTTAAAACGCAATATCATAAAGTCCTGTTTACTTTGGAAACCACTTTGTATGTGTAACAATATGCGATGCAGATGCAGAGACTGTGAAGTTATTTATGTATGTAGTATTCCTTAAGGTGTTAGGGGTAGTCAGAATTTCCAAAAAAAAAAAAAAAAATTTTGCATCTCCTGTCATCAAACAAACAGCCGTCGCACTCGCGACTAGGCATCCACGTCACTGTTTACAGTAATCACTTCGAAGTTGTAGATAGAATAGACGAAATATTTAGGAACCAGCATCAACACCAACAACAACGTCAGCCTCGAAATCCAAAGCAGTATATCTCTTGCTAACAGGTGCTACTTCGGACTAAATAGGCAATTGAGAAGTAAAAAACTCTCTCGACGAACAAAAACCAAGCTGCATAAGGCACTCATAATTCCCGTCCTGTTATATGGTTCAGAGGCATGGACGATGACAATAACTGATGAGTCGACATTGCTAGTTTTCGCGAGAAAAAATTATTTAAAGTTCTAAAAAGATTTATGGTCCTTTGCGCTTTGGCCACGGCGAATATCGCGTTCGATGGAATAATGAGCTGTATGAAATATACGACGCCACTGAAATCGTTCAGCGAATTAAGGGGTTAGGTGAGTTTCAGACGTACAAAAAAAAGGTATTTTTACGATTTGTTTTTTAATATAAGCAATCATATATTTGAAAAATATAATATGTTATATCAAAGCTACATATTTGAAAAAATCTAATAAAATTTCGATACAAAAATGTTGAAAATTCAACCGTTGAGACCTCATTACCCTGGGTGTCTCAAAAAAAAGTGCTCTCGCCGTGGACAGCATACCTTATTATAAGTTGATATAAAATAAAAAACTAAGCATATTCCGTTGGTACATATTTAAATCTCGTTTTTAAACGCAGGAAATAAAAAAATTCAAATTTATCTTTTTTTCTCAGACTTTGAACAAAATATCTCATTTTATGGTCAAATCTTCACCATTTAGAGGTCAAAAATATAAGTTGTAATCAAACAAGAAAACTTTGTTTAATAACTAGAAGTTATTTTAAAACGTGTACACAATACGAACTAAACCGATCGATAACTTTACGAGAAATCGCGTCCACCGACTTCAAAAACACAGTTTCGAGAAAAACACGTTTAAAGACCGGGCACTTAGCGCAGCTAGCCTCGACCGCACAAGGTAAATACCTACCTCTCCCGTTACCTCACTGCACGAAACCTCACACATTCCCCCACCATCCCCAGCGAGCCGCAAAAAAATCCTCAAGCCGCTAGCCGGCAGCACATGGCGAAAAGACAAAGAAACGTTGTTGGCAACTTACAAGGCAATCGGCCGGACAGTCCTTAACTACGCAGCACCAATATGGTCGCCTGGATGCAATGGAACGCAGATGAGGAAACTTCAGAATTGCCAGAATACTGCACTCCGGACCACGACGGGATGCCTGTTGATGTCTCCCCTAGAATACCTCCACAGTAAGACGCTTATGCTTCCTGTAAAGGTGACTAATGAACTCCTCTCCAGACAGTTCTTGCTAGGATGTTTCCGTAGGARTCCCCCTTGCAGCCATCTGCTTGGAGCAGAGCCGCATCCTAGGAGCATCAGAAGGTCCTTTCTTGTCTACGTCGACGCCGTCGTACAGTACGCAACTGACTTTCGACCCTTTACCGACTCCCTTCCCGTGAATGGCGTGGCTGGGATTTASAATAGCATCCCCGGATTTCGGGAATAAAATAGGTATCACTGGAAAGGTGACGTTCTCCAGATAACGAAAATATATATATATAGTTGCCGCTGACTTATAGTTTTAAAGATATAAAGTTGAAAAAATGACAACTTTTACATTGATAATTTGTATATAGCGAATAACTTTTTCACTTACACTCGCCAGAAAAATTATCCGTACACCTCGATATGAAAACAATAAGCTTAGAAATTTGTGATCAAATAACTCATTATGTATGAAAATTATATATAAAAGTTTTATTTAGTATTTCTACTACACTTTCTATAAGGTTTTTTTTAGACATTCACATTAAAAGCAAATTCCCAGAACAAAAACAAAAAAACTCACTTCAATTAAACGGAAAAAGTATCCGTACACATCATAACGGGGTATTTCCYTTTTAATATGGTGACAAATACATTCACTTAAGCGCTTCTATTGTAGTGTATAATTGATCTCGCTTTGAACAGTTCACTTTAAAGTTATTAGAATTTTTTCTTTGTTGAAAAATTCGCGATGGCCCCTAAAATTAAAGAAATTAGCGCTGGCGAAAGAAAAATTATTCTAAAACTCAGAAAAGAGGACAAATCATTCAGGGAAATAGGTAAAATCATAGGAAGACCTCATTCTTCTGTGCAGTATGTTGTGCAAGCACTCAAAAAAAACTAACTCCATTGTGTCAAACCCACGTTCTGGTCGTCCAAGTATATTGACCGTTCGAGAAAAACGAACAATATTACATCCACGCCTTACTGTATCGAAAATTTGTGAAAAAATTAAAAATTCGTTTGCCAAGGATCTCCATGAAGATACTGTACGAAAATTTTTGAAATAAGATGGGTATCACGCACGTGTAGCACGCAGGAAGCCCTTTATTTCCGAAGTGAACAGAAAGAAACGTTTGGATTTTGCCAACAAACATATTAACAAGCCTCGAGAGTTTTGGGAACGCGTCTTATTCAGCGACGAAAGCAAGTTTTGTACTTTTGGCATTAAAGGAAAAAAGTTGGTGTGGCGTAAGAGTGGTACTGCACTTGATAAAGAAAATCTTTTACCCACCGTCAAACATGGCGGAGGAGGCGTGATGGTCTCGGGGTGTATGGCGGCAGGAGGAGCAGGCAAACTTGTTTTTATAGATTCAATAATGGATCAGTTCGGCTATTTACGCATTTTGAAAGGTAATTTGAAGGATAGTGYTCAGCAGTACTATATGTACTTAATTTCAAAATGTACGAATACCTTTTCTGTTTCATTATGTGCGATTGTTTTGTTTGTTTTGAAAAAATTAATTTAAAGTGTATGTTTAAAAAAATAAAGTGGAAAGTGTAGTGAAAATACTAAATAAAACTTTTGTATATTATTTTTTTACATAATGAGTTATTTGAGCACAAATTCCTCAGTTTATTGTTTTCATATCGAGGTGTACGGATAATTTTTCTGGCGAGTGTATATTATGCACTTTTCACTTACTAACACTTCACTATAAGGTTTCTGTATATTAATTCTTTTAATATTTGTTGTAAATAAAGCTTTATTTTAATTATTTTCTCTGCATTTGCACAATGCTTGGAGTTAACACACCACCTATTGCAGACGAAGCGCAACTTCGTTCTGGATATTGGAGCAGGTTAAACTCCTACTTATCCCGAATTGACACAGACATACTCAATGTATGCCCTGCATGCAACGAGTCCTCGCATGATACTGGCCACCTCTTGGCATGCCCTACTGACCCTACTCATCTAACACCCTCTTCACTTTGGTCCGACCACGACCGAACAACACGTTTTCTGGGCTTCCCGTTAGATGATCTCGACGACAACGCAAATTACCCTTACCATCTTAACGGGGATTACAGAACCGTTAAAAGAACAAACAACAAAACAAAAAAAATTTTGAAATATGTATATGTTTACCTTTAAATCTGAACGATATCCTTTCTCTGCTGACATTTCTTCAAATATTCCAGAATACTTTTCTTTTACCTCGCTCACGCATATGTAACAAAACTATCGATATAATGTAAAAGCGATATTATCGGCATCAACAGTCAATTTAGAATAATAAAAAAAATTATAGCTAGAATTATTGCCTACTGACATTGCATATTACTAATGTTATTTCTAATGTCAACCATTGCCAAGGAGGAACTATAATATTGGTGCTTTGACAGAACTTTTTTCATTTTCACAATAGTTTTGAGGAAGTAACATCTGGATGCACGGTTTTGGTCCCATTGCGCCTGCTAAGATGAAAATTCAACGCCCCTTACTTTATTTAATTTTTCTTTTGTGGAAACTGCACCTGAAAAATATACTACTAAAAACATAAACTTTAGCAAAGCATTGAATATATTAGTTAAATACATACATATGTATATAAAGGTATGGAACGGTAATGCTATTTCCTTAGCAAATTTATATCATTGTTCATATTTGAATAAATTTAATAATGCAATTGTTAAGTAAACATTATGCACATTACATTATTTTATAATATAAAATCTTTTTTTTTTTTATAAATTTGTGGAGATAAATACATTTCTGCTCTTTTTTTATTTCCCATATATTCTTTCATCCTAGCGAACCTATCTAGCAGACGCCGTTAATGTGGCTGTAAACGGTGAGAGTAATTCTTATGAGAATGCGATTAGATTGGTGTGAGAATTCTCTAGCCTATATACACGAATAGCTATTCTGACTCTCTCTCTGAAAACGAAAAGACGGAGAATAAGAGTCATTTCAGTGAGAGTATTGTCGCCCATTCTCACATGTAGTTACATGATGATGATAAAGCTCATGAGAATTCATATGGCAATGCTTATTGTAGAAGAGWGATATTGTCGATGTGATTTTGTGTGCCAAGTGAACATGTCGAAAAGACGTTAATTGCTTTTGGGTTTTTTAAGTTTCAATAAATATCTAAACGAAATAAGAGAGGAGGGAAATAGGAAAAAAACAAGAATTTGGAGTCGCGAAATTTATTTATATTTATAAGAAGGTGATGAATTTCACAAAAAAATTTGTAAGAATCACTTTTGTTGAATTTGAAGAAATTCATCAAAAGATTGAACCTTTGATAGGAAAAAAGTGCACAAATATGAGGAAAGCAATTAGTAATCGTAATCGTCTAGCTGTCACTCTATTCTATTTGGCATCAGGTAATTATTTCTARGAAATTAATCAACAATTTTACCTGAGTTGAATGTGCTTTTTTTAAATAGGCGATAGTTTCAACAACTTGTCTATTGTGTTTAAAATTGCGCCGTGTACGATTGGTAAAATAATCACTGACGTGTGTGAAGCTATTTACAACATACTAAAAGAAGATTATTTGAAGGTAAATATAAAAACATAAATTTATTTAATACATTTGCCTTTGGGTGAACACTTTGGTATTCTTAAACCTAAAATTAAATTGAATGAATGAAAAAACTTATACTCATTATCTTTCTTGGGAGGCAAGTCTGGTAGACAAACATTTCAAACTTTCAATACCTTCAGCGTGCCACTTCAATTCCAATTCTTCAGCAAAAGCTTCGTCTTGCTTACCAATGTGCCTCAATATAGATGCCAATCCTTCACCATATTCATCATATTTATCTTTTTTATTTAGCTCCTCCAAAAAACCTTGATATATTTGTTCTCTTTGAAGTGTTGCTGCCTCCCTCTTTCTTTTATTTAAAAAAGATGTTGTTGGTTTTTCAGCTGATGAAATAGAAGTGGAAGAATAGTGTGTATCAGCGTCTGTAAATGTTTCACTTTCTGCAACTGTTTCAGTCTTATCATCACCCTGGAAATAATAAATAATAATTATTAAATAAAAAATTTTGATTTTTACAGACCCCTTCAACTGTGGAAGAATGGTATAAAATTGCTGATGGCTTTTGGGAGAAGTGGAATTTTATGAATTACATGGGTGCTTTGGATGGAAAGCACATGAATATAATAAAACCTGACAGAAGCGGAAGTGAATATTATAATTACAAGGGTCATTGCAGTATTGTTTTGATGGCATTAGCTGATGCTAATCATTGTTTCACCTATGTTAATATTGGCGCTAAAGGTTCTGGTTCAGATGGTGGTATTTTTAATTAATGTAAATTTTACGAAAAGTTGAAAAACGATCACTTGAATATTCCATCAAATCGCCCATTATTAAATAGAGAAAAAGAAATTCCGTTTGTTATTGTTGCTGATGATGCGTTTCCATTACAAAAGCACATTATGGAACCGTATTCAAAAAGAAATTTGACCATGCCAGAAAGAATTTTTAACTATCGATTATCACGTGCTAGACGCATTATTGAAAATGCTTTTGGTATAGCGTCAGCTAGATTCAGATGTTTGAGAACAACAATGAACCCATTTCTGATGGGTGTCACCCCATCATACTCAGGTGCCAGAATGCCGCAAACACCAGCCCAAGGTTCTACACAGATCCAAAAGAGGTTTCTTAATCTAAAAACCATTCCGATGCCAAAGTCGTCTTAAGGAGTTGAAAGACCGTGAAGGCCGCAGGCCATTTAGCATTACCCAAAATGCACCAAGCGTGGAGGCGACCTGCACTACGTCCAAAATCTAGTACTAACTCTTAATACGTTTTTTCTATAAAATGCGAATTTGGCAAACCCGGTTTTGCGAAGAAACATGAAATCAACAATAATTTCTTGAAGGAAATTCAAAGTAATCGTTAAATTCATCCTAAATTAGTTAAATTAATTAATATGAAGTATATATTTTCTTTTCAAATGGTGTATAAAACTTACCAATCATCAACAACATTGCTTAAATCGCAATAAAAATATTTATGTTACAACACACATTCATACACACATACATGGATAATATGATACGAAACTTTAGCATTGGCTCTCTTTTTCTCTCAAACGCGTTCCCTGATTATTTGACAGCGATGAAGATCAGGGAATTTCTGACAATTGATTTCAGAAAAGGCGGGATGCCAGAAGTAAACCGCTATAATTACCTGACAAAATTAGCGTGAAATGAAATTTCATTGAACTGTGCGAACA